TTTTATTTACAAAGTAGACTACTTCTCACAACCTCATTTGTATAGGACACAAAATATAATGACTCAGAAACGCGTCAAAAAGAGTTCTTAAACAAGTATCTCTTAACGTAACACATACATTCTTTTACATTTTCCAAGAATCTTTATTAAAGAGTAGACTTAAAGAGTAGACTTAATCAGAGGACTAGGAATACATGAGTTATCAGTGATCGGTGTTAAAATTAACTGATGTACTTGGAATATAGGCAAGAGTGAATCTTCACAAGATCTTCGAACTGGCTTCCAACTTGTCAAAACACTGATTTTTTCATGAAAAAAAAATCGAATATGTATATCAGATACTTGAACATACTGACAACAAATTCATTATTTAAATGTAATTTCAAAATAAATCAAATAATTTTAACTTTGTTACATTTTAGTCAAAATAGAAATAACTGTTTCAAATAATAATGAGTTTAGTTGGTCCTTAGGCCTAATACAATATAAAAACTTACAGAATGTTTATTCACATATAGAAATGAAGTAATAATCATACATATAAACTCATGACACATAGTGTATGTTTTCATTGTCAAACTTAATTCATTGTGGTCATTTTGAATTACAGAGGAATTCAATGGGACTATGAAAAAAACCTTGCCTTAATGAACAAGATATTTGAGACATCTTATTGATAAACTTGATTATGATTATGATCTGGTAGTTCATTCCATATAATATGTGATTCTAAAATCCCAAATAACATTTTACCAAACAGTTTGTTATCATTGTCTAGCTATTCAGAGCAGTACCAATTTGTTTGTATTTATTTTTCATCATGTTATTTTGTTTTACGTTTAATTTGATTTAAATGCTTTTTGTGTTAACAAATGTGTAAAAAATTAATTGTATGCAATAGGAAATTAAAGGAAGATATCAAAATATTTGATTGTTAAAGTATTATCTATATAATTATAAAACAAATTGCATAAAATCAGAGATAATAAGTTATGATTAGGTACATTATGGCATTATTTTTAAGAAAAAATATATTGAAATATCAAAAGAATAATACTAAAATAACATCATATTTATCTTGCAGCTTGAAGAAACACAGTGTTACACTGGAAACCTAAAATGTGTTTCTCGCAAAGGGTGATTGGTGTTCAAGTAACGACAATCACTCGAGAAATAGGCATAACTACTACACATGGAAGAAAAGTTTACAGGAACGATCCTCAACCTATTTGAATAGCCAGCACAATTTCCATATAAAAATGTAACATTATGGTTCTTAATATATGGTCAACACAACATTACACTAACAAGTCATTGAATGATATAATGCATAAAACCCATTTTGGCTAGCATTTACTCAGCACTATATTAAAGTGTTAAAGCAAGCACCAAGACAGAAATTGAAATGACACTCTTTGACATGCTAAATAAAACTCTATGATCAGACATGGCTACATATTTGTAAAATAATCATATAGCTGCTTCATGCCAAATTAAATAAATATGTAATCCCACTTTATGGCATTATGCTTAATTATCTATACTCAACCACTGTCAATCAAGTCAAGGGAGATAACATACCAAAATAAAATCAAATACAAGACTAGCGCAATCACATCCATTATTGTTAAGTGCTATTCCAGAAATACATCTTTATAAGGGGAGGGGCCCTATAATGAAGGTACTTATTTGCGACACCCATTGTTTCTTATGAGGCTTGCTATACAAATGTTGACAGCTATCGTTATCAATGTTAATTTTAAGTGCCTCCCTTTACCTTCCACTCTCATGCATATATTCCTATCTGGAATAACCATTTCTTGTTATTCACTATAATTAACCCTGTGTTTTTGTATAAGTTGTATTCTCAAACCATATTAATAGTATATTTCACACTTCTCTCCAGAAGTCTACTCACTACTTTTTCATGTTTTCGGTCACTATTTTCTCTAGGGTACTAGAACTACCAGACTGAGTTGAGAAATTACTGTAATTTCAGTACCATGAAAATGTTATTATCACCAGAATTGCTGATGTTAATTGATAAACCACTTATCGTAACGACAGGGTCGCAATCAATAGTTTTTCTGTATAAGATTGTGATTATCTTAAAATAAATGAGAAAGAACAGCAGTTATATTGTAAAAGTTAAAGAGTTAATTTCAAATTCTTCATTCTGCCAAAAGTAAGTTTTCTGTTCTTAATCTATTCACCCCTAAAGTTACATTTTAACCTTACCAAGTCAAAGACTGGACAAGTTCATTTTAAAAATGTAGGGGTGAATGAGTTAAATATATTGATGTTTGGAGCATTGTTGTAAGCCTTCAATGAAATTCAAGAAATATTCCTTGAAATAATTTAACTATGATAAAGATAACTATCATATTGTGCTTTTTTTTTAATAACATTTTGAAAAATCCAAATAAATGGATATAGAAAATCAATGCCTAAATAACATATTCGAAAATTATAGGTCCATTTTCATGAACCGTTCCTGAGCAACTTGCTTTAAAAACTGCTTCTATTCTTATAGAAACAATAACAATAATATTAACACTATTTGGTGTGAAAGAAGTACTTACAGAAACACCCTCCAATTAAACAACCTATACCACATGTATTACCACGACAAATACCCCTTATATAAATCTCACTACAAAAAGTAGTTTGGCAAGGAAAAGAAGAAATACCACAAAGCACTTGTATTATATAGATCGGAAGATAAAAATCGTAGACAACACAAGAGATCAAATACTGACTAGATATTTTAGTGTGTTTTCCTTCAAACATAAACAAAAGTAACATTGGAGAAAATGTGCACTTTATCTCAAATTTAGTACATAAAAAATACACACACAAAAGGAAAAATGATCGGCTATGCCAATATTTCTTTTAAATGAATAAATATAAATAAGCATGCATTATGTTATGGTCATGAATTCTGTTGTCTACACAGTTTGTGGTCTTGAAAATGAAGGCGACTCAGAAAATTTTGACAATTAATGTTTTCTGTGTGTACAATTCCACTTATGATAGTATTTTTTACAGTAACATAATACACAGCAGGGTACATTTTATGTATTCATCTAAAGCTTGTTCAATTGGTATTCCAAAGTGTTATAAACTGCACTGGCACTAGTAAGCAGTGCTATCAGTCAGTATACAGTGTTTAGAACGTCTCTTTAGCTACTTTTAATTGATGAATAATAGTAAATACTTCATTTAGCATAACAAGTAAGTAAAGTTAGCACTTAACATATATAAGAAGAATTTGAAAAATGATATCCAGTAAATGTTTGTAAAACCCTTTTTTGTTAAACATTATACATGTGTGACAACAGAGCGAAGAATATGCATGGCAATTGTTCAATGTGTGTTGTTCTACAGGGCACGGAATAATCTAACTTCTATTCAGCACAGCCCTTGTTCACTACTAATACTTGCTAGAAAACTTCCAATGACAAAGTACAACATGCTGATGGCAAAGGAAAAAATAGCAATGGCTACCAAGTCCTCACTTACTTCATTCAGTCCAAGTAAAGCTTTGATAGTAGTCATGTCACCGGTTCCAGTAAAGTTAAATAGCATCATTCTGTGTTCCCATTATGATATATGTATTTTTCCTTAAACTCAATATGCCGTTATAATGGAGACTCCTAAAATTGATCAAGTTAATGTAATTTTGTTCAGTGATCATTTTTTTTTTTTTTAAATTCTTCCAAATTCATGCTCTTGCAATTGAGCTTCACACAAACTGCTAGGAGTTTAATAAGATGAACAGTTACATAAGAAAATCTTGTTCAACCGAAATGTTCATAAACAATAAATAAACATTTTCGCGACAGTTATAAAACGAACCTAGCAAACTGCTCTCAACTGAGTTCCAGACAAAACATGATGATTCAAAAACAGCTGTTCTAGAATTTAAAAAATGTAAAAAGTAGACTAGCATAAAGAGAAGGAAGGGTATTGGAGTGAGAAGTAATGCAGGTAAAATATTTCAACACCACTAAACATTATACTTGTTAGCACAAAAGAATCCTAACAATGACTACCCGAGGTAGTATAAAACACAAAAATAGCATTATATATGTATACAAAGTATAAATAATGTACATCTATTCCATAAACATTTCTGAAAACTCCAAAGCTTCAGTATACATCAAAATAAATTTAAGACTGTGCATCTTCAAAATTCAACGGTTTCGATTTCGATACACATACATGCACATACATATGTTCTCTACATGTTTGGAATATGCCATGCCAAAATTGAAGTCTGCACATGTGCCACCTTGAGGACAATACAAGTTCACTAGTTAAGAAACTACTATGGATTCCTGCATAACTGGGGTTTCTTTGATACAAGGTAAATGGCACCCTGTGGAAGCATGACGGTAAAACTGATTGCCTTCAACTTTGATGTACAGCTCCTCTGTACTCTTAAAGGAACAGGCATTGCTAGCATTTAGTCCGGATTGTTTTGTCCAAAACCAATCAAACAGCTAACCATGAACCTTTAGTTTTGTCACAATATAGTCAAGGGTGTAGGGAAGATATGTATATATCGAAAAAAGGGAACAGTTTGATTTCAAAGATGATATTACATAATAGCAAAGTTATGTGCTGTATCATAAAATAGCATATAATTTTTTAAAGACACTGGAGTTTTCAAAATTGTCCAAGTCATAGTCATTTAAAGACATTGTCTTTCCAAAATTTATTGCAAATCATGCATGAAAATGAATAATGAGTTTACAATCATGTAGGCAATATAAATATATATGAGATAGAGGATGGATTTCTTAAGACATGGCAGTGCTCTACTCAAAGTCAGGTGTATATAATTTATACATATATACATACTTTCAATTAGGAGATTTTATATATTTTTTTATATTAAATACAAACTTTAAAAGTAAAGATATTATTTTAATCAAATGTCAACAACTAATTTAAAATTAGATAATTAATACAGAATTTTAAATGAAAATGTTGTACAAAAATAATCAAGTTTATATAATAATTTCCCTTTCTTTGCATGCATCTGAATATTTTAGTCGGAACAAGCATTGGTGTTGCACATGCAATGCAGGAAGGGTGTGTTTGAATAAAAACAGCTCAAAGAAAAAAATTAACATAGAAAAAGCTACCAAGTACCGTATTCAGATTACAGTTATTGGTGGCCTCATTTTTTTTTTAAATAACAGTCCTCGATCCTATTTTAATGCTTTACAGGTACATCTATATTAGCGTTATCGACACTGTGTCTATAAATAACTACACAATGAAATATTGAGATACAACTCCATGACAATATTGAGTAAAACATTTCTTAGTTCATATGCATATGGAAAATACCATACAGCTATCAAAAACAAAAATATTTCAAGTTTTAACAATAAAACTTAATACATTTTTCACAACAGCTCTTTAAAAAACAAAAAAAGGTAATTTAGCACTTCAGTGCATTCCATGATTAATTTGTAAAACTAAAGGATAATTACATATGTATTTATGAATTTTACTTACAAATAAAATCCTAAAAAACGTCTTATTTTTTAACACACAGGTATTGCTGAATTTTTGTAAATATTTTCATGATTAATCCTATAAAACTTATGAAGTTTCATTCCTATGGTTTCTTTTTAACTTATTTTCATCGTTCCATCATCATTATTTTTCAATGATTTTTTTTTCATTTTTAAGTAGAATTTATTACTGTAAAGAAATATTTTTGCTCCACCAAATGTTCATCCTTCAAGTCATTTGGATATCAATGTAAATATTTGCCTGATACATACTTATCCTACTGCAAACTGTAATACATTATTTTTGAAATGTGTTGAATATGCCTTTTTGTTCTTGAAAGGCAAAATTAAAATGGGCAAAACATGTCTGATTTTATAGTACAAGTATCACACATATTTGTAAGACAACCTGTTTAAATAGTCCCTTTCATTGATTTGTTATTACTACTCATGTGTACCAGAAAAGCACTAATACTAGTGGCACTATTAACACAACCTACAAGGGGCTGTTCAGATTATATTTTACTGCAGATATAACAGCTTATGCTTATAGTTATCAAAACTAAGTCTTCCTCTTACAAAGTTTCAGCAGATGATATTAGTTAGCATTTCGATAAGTGATTGTTGCATAATAATACAGGTGTGTTCAGAAGTAACCTGTTTAAACTATTTAACCTTTAGAAGCACTTACTTCAGTAAACACAATCATCAAAGATTCAGTATTAGCTTTATCCAAGCATATACATGTAGATAAGTATACCCACATACCACTTGCCACTGAATACAACCTTGAAATGAATGCCTCAACAACATAAACATTTTAAATTTCTTAAAAAACTTATTGATCTGTAAATACATATATAAAGCCTCTTCCACGTCACATTATATATGTCCCTAAAGTAATCTTTGGTCATACTGACGACTCATACGAAATACTCCTGCGCGAAGGGTGTTGAGCGGGAAGGGGCATTGGGTAATCCTCTGGAGACAGGATAGGTGGGGTCATGGGGGAAGGGGACAGCACTTCCTTGTGGCGGTTATTGGTGGGACTTATTGGGGTGTTTGGTTCCGCCTCAGACTTTGACCTTGACCTTTTGAAGGAGAATCTCTTTGGTGAAATTGGAAATAAGCCTGGAGAGGGGTGATGATGATGGGTTGGTGATGAGTTATTAGTTGTATTAACACTCAGACTACGTATACGTGCAAACAGTTTCTTAGGGCGAGACTTCTTTGAACTGGGTGATATTGGGGAGGTTGGGGATGGGGATGTATCGGTAGAACTGGGAAGTGATAGGGTGTCGTCTCCATTCCAAGTCCCAAGGGGTATATTCTCCATCTCCTCTTCATCTGGTTTCATGATTCCAACCTCGTAGGCAACCACTGAAGCATGGTCTAACTTCCCTGGGGCCTTCCCCATCTTATCAACAATCTCTGAATCTCTGTGCTCCTTGTCCTTTAGTGTCATCTTGCGTCTTACATATAAAGCTGGATTTTCTAATATTTTCCGTTTGGAATCTGTCAGTGACAAAACATGTTGTACTAATGCTCCACAGAGTTCCTGAGCAGAACAAGGTTCCTCTGTCACTAGTTCATACTCATGTATAATGCGCTCCATCTCCTTCATTGCGTAGATGTGTCTCTCCTTTGGCTCCATCTCCGGTCTGATGATTGGACTTGATGTTGGAGATGTGGGTGATAAATTGTTAAAATTTGAATCACTTTCTCTTCTTGGTAGAGCTAGCTTTGTCACAACAGGATCAAAATTGTCAGAAATGCCATCTGTTGCTAAAAATACAACATCACCCTGATGAGCAAATGTAATGGAACAAGTCAAATTTCTGAGTTCAGGATTTTTTCCATTCACAGGACCAAGTGCACCACCGGCATCTCGTATGTCTCTTTCCGAGCTGATGTCATGTGACCCCACTGTGACCTCTCTGATGCCTTGATTATGACTTAAAACGTAAGCATAGCTGTCCCCAACATTTACACAACATACAGCAAAATGCTCAGAATTTTTCACTGGTACAACCATACAGGCACACATTGTAGTAAGTCCTCCATCTTTGGCTAAAATACAACGATGTGCTTCATCAAATGAGCGCCTCAGCAGTTCTATTACATCCTGCAAAAACAATAGAACTAGAATTGAAAAAGTAATTATACCATTGTTGAAATGTGATAAATTCACCTCCTTTTATTTGTGCATCTTCTCATCCATAAATAATGAGGTGAATTGGGGATGAAAAGTTTGAAAAACTGATTTTTAATGCAGGACAAAAGATTTTTTTAAATCTAATGTCAAACTTTAAGGTTGGTAAAATTGCTCTTAAACCCTTTTAAGATCATGTATGTCTCTATACCTTGTGATCCTATGTAGTTATTTGATGAATTTCATCTGACACTGGCAGAACTGGGATTCTGATCCCAAATGTTACACTCAATCAATGAGTTTTAATATCCTCCACATCTTTACTTTAATGAATGATCTGGTATATGTCAGGGACCCCACAGGTATGGGAGATGTCAGGGACCCCACAGCTATGGGAGATATCCGGGACCCCACTGGTATAGGAGATGTCAGGGCCCCCACTGGTATGGGATATGTCAGGGAACCCACAGGTATGGGAGATGTCAGGGACCACACAGGTATGGGAGATGTCAGGGACCCCACAGGTATGGGAGAATTCAGGGACCCCACAGGTATGGGAGATGTCAGGGACCCCACAGGTATTGGAGATATCAGGGACCCCACTGGTATAGGAGATGTCAGGGACCCCACTGGTATGGGATATGTCAGGGACCCCACAGGTATGGGAGATGTCAGGGACCCCACAGGTATGGGAGATATTAGGGACCCCACAGGTATGGGAGATGTCAGGGACCTCACAGGTATGGGAGATGTCAGGGACCCCACTGGTATGGGAGATGTCAGGGACCCCACAGATATGGGAGATATCAGGGACCCCATTGATATGGGAGATGTCAGGGACCCCACAGGTATGGGAGATGTCAGGGACCCCTCAGGTCCTGGAGAAATTAAGATGAATTTTGAATGAGTCATATTGATAGGATAACCTTGCGTTAGTTTTTATTATACCTGAGTATTACAGGGTTGTTCCCCTTCCTGAAAAATATTTTTGTTGATGTAGTTCATGCTACCATAAAGAGCACATCTTGCCGCCAGCCTTGGTTTTTCCCCCCAGTTCACGCCGTCAGCAATCAACATCAAACAGCTGTTCTTTCGTGCACAAATGGCGAATGCATCAGCCAAGGGGTCACCTACAGGAAAACAAACAATCATTATGTTTACATTGTACCTGTAATTTGCATCTATCCATAATTATTACAACAAGATAACGCAAAGCGTGACATTATCACCGCGCCCTGCTGTTAAAAAGAGACACACAATCATATATATATATATGTTAATATTAGAATTACAGGTATTAACTCCATTCCACCACTGTTACTGATACAAGTACTTTGATGTATATCCTCTTTTACAAAACACTGATGACTTCCCATCAAAAAAGGCTTGATAAGAGCACAAGCTTCATTAATGTACATAACTTCCTGTATACATCTTGAATGCAAACGGCTCCAATAGAGTGCTAGGTTGATAAGTGTACAAGGTAAATTTCAATTTGTTATTTTTAAGAGTTTTGAGATCATGTTTCAGAAACCTCAAATTTTGTATTTTTCAAAATATTTCTTTTTTATCAAGCATTCTTTAAGTGTCTTTTGCTATGCTGGAGTTCTCATTTTTTTTAATTTTTTTTGTTTCTATGAGAACTTCTATATAGCAAAAGGCACTACTATATATAGAACTAGCTTGATAATTATATAACTGTACAACGTTTTGAGTAGTTATCTTAAACGGTTTCAGAGCTCTGGTCCCGAAAATGCCCATGCACGGACACACAGACGGACGGACGGAGCCCAATTTAATATCCCCCGCAAACGCCTTTCCGAGGGGGATAATTAACATTTATACAGTAACACCTGCAGAGTTCCAACTCAACAATCAATGACTGTGACTACAGCCTAAGTTTGAACATGATATAATGTTTGCAGTAAGTTGGGATTGCTGTATATACATCTATCATTCAATGGTCCTTCATTATAGAAAAAATGTTGCAATTCACTTCATAATGTTGCAACATTATGAAAAAATCCCTACACTGTACAAACCATACAGATTATAATATATATTTCATGAGAATTGTTTTTGTTCTGTTATATTACCTTTCTTCAATGCCTATGTGAAGCTTGTCTGGAAGCTAGGGGTTAAGTAAACAAAACCATATGGCTGTGGAAAACCACCATGCTTTCAGTAGACTTGTTTATATGACAGGAATATAAACATTTGTTTGGTAACTTTAGCCAGTAACCCATCACAGAAATAAATATATAGTAATCCAAAAGTTTAGTGCAAGCACCTAAGTGAACTATACTTGGGATTAATTTCTATCTATTGTAATAAAAATAAATACCTCATTTTCAAAATTAAATGTGACATTTAATCTTTTTTTGTGTCCTCCCACTAGGACATCAAAACAACAAATCTTGACAATCATAACTGGCTATTGTTTCAAGTATTTGTTTACCAAATATACTGAATATCTAGAGAAAGATAGATCACATTAATCTAGAAATAAATGTCTAAGAACTTCTCCACACTTTCAATTGTGTATAATAATAATAATAGAATCCATCCCTGATGTGGGGTATGGATAAGGTTATTCAAACCCAAGGGATAAAATAATGAGCAGAAGACCTGAGGCTTTGCCGAGGGTTTTTTGCTCAATATTTTATCCTGAGGGTTTTGAATTATATTTCTTGCTTTTTACCTAAAACCCGTAAAAACAGCTGCTCTTCTAGCAGAGTTGTAAACTGTCCGCACATTACCATTTGCAAATGCAGCATGGATGGCAACTGTTAATGACCCTGACTGACCCCAAAACGTCATAGAATGACGTCACGAACAATAGTGTGACCCCGAAAGGTTACTATAATTCCCCCACCAGCCTGCGCGTGTAAGTGATCTAGTATGCAAGAACATTAATTCTAATAATTGGAACATCAATGTCTCCTTCAACTCATCAAAATCATTTAACTCCATCATCTCTTGGTGGCCGTTTGACCACCTCAACTCATTGCACTTCATAACGCTACATAAATCTATAGGCCATATTTCCTGTACTTATACACTCCGGAGATAACCAGGCAAAAGCTCTTCAACTATAGTTGATATCAGTGTATAGCTCATGGTCAAGTTTTATTAATCACCAACTGTGTATTGTCATTATGTTTCATACAAATTAAGCTTCTATAGAAATACACAGTAGTGTACAGCATATTGATATTTTAATTACACACCGCCTAATAAATCAAAACCTCGATGCCTAATTAAGTCAATATAATATCTTCATCATTTGTTTCTTACAACTTTAAATGATGCCATCATTATATTACCAAAATCAAGCAATGCTACGGTCATAGTAAAACAAGTTAGAGTTCTCTCTCTTGTGTGTTAACACTGATCAAACACTTTCACACCTCAATAACCAAACAAAATTGGCAAATGAGCTGTTTAGGTCATGGGTGAGTGATTTCAGTATATCAAGCAGAAACATATATGTACAGTGTATATGTATTAGTAAAGGAAATCATGTATACCTCAGTTACATTGACAATATCTAGATAAATATTTATAGTCGAGGTATCAAATTTAAGAGCGAGTCACTTCACAACTCGCTTCACAACTTGTATACTTCAGTAGGTAAGTGTGTGACACCATCAGTATAGTTATCCCGTACTTATCAATCACAGGGTCATTTTTGTGATATTTCCCAAATTGGGAAATT